GGGGGGGGAGGGGCGGGCTTGAAGCATCCAGAATCTGCTATTCGGGTGGGGGGGAAGTTTTGGCGCATTGCTGTGATGCTGTGAATTCCCTCTATAATAGGCGCAAGGCCGATCCTCGTGAGGACCATGTGTTCGGATGAGCAAAGCAGCTGATCGAAGGATTGAGCAAGCGATGAAGTGCTGAGCTTTGGTAAAAAATCATGCGACAGGAGTTGCACACATGGAGCAGCCGCAGCAAAGCCAGTAGCAGCAAACAAGACTACCTGTACGAGAAAACCTCCCTGCACCAACTCGCACGGGTGGAACTGCTGTGCCGTGAGGGATACGTAGAATGCCATGGCAAGGGGGCACGCGGAGTGCACACAGAGGGAAATTGATGGCCCACCAAGCCACCCCCTGCCTGTTGTTCTGGGCCATATTCTGCTTTGGAGCGATTGGGTTCTTGCATATTGGACGTAATCTCAAGGACGCTGGCTTTGAAGTTAGACTACAATTGCAGCAGAAGGTAATCGGAGAAGCATATTGGGACAGCCATCTCTGTCATTTGGATCCCAACAGTAGCTAAGGGCCAGGTCATGGGTTCGAGTCCCGACAGAGTGAGTTTTTTCTCGCTAATTAACTCCTGGTCTCCGTTGGAAGCGACGCGCTGCAAAGCTCGTTGTTAGTAAACTTGATCGATTTCATAAGTCGCGAGGGAAGGGATTACTGTACCCTTCTCGCGATAAAAACATATCAGGCAGGAACCGCAGGAGGGGGTCCAACCCCCCCCTCCTATGTGACCCCGGTTCGGTCGTCTAGCTGGTAGAAGTGGAGGATAGGGGCCAGAGGGGCAGACGACAGAGTCCAATAATGGGAGCCCCCCCCCCAAAAAAATGTTGGCCCAGGTTGATTTCCTTTCGAATGAGCCGAAGCATGCCAGATGTGCATAGAACTGTCGCAGATTTCAGGAAGAAACATTGACGTCGTTTGGGCTTGACCATCGGCCGTGTCCTGTGGGGGTGGTATCTAGCATCACATAACAGTATGGAATCAATCAGTGTGGGGGACCTGTAGGAATCAACCGTTGTGGGACACAGGGTTGTGCCATTACTCAAGCGGGCTACCAGTGCCGCTAACTTGGATACTACGGTCAGATTAATTCCTCGCAACACTCCTTAAACCATACGCCGCGCTGGTGCCAACACCGCCGTGAACCTACGGCAACGGCTAACGTACGTTGGATACGTAATATACCACACCCCCCACACGTACCGCTTTTCAAACCCGGATTAATGTACTCCCACGAGGAAGGGGATGCCACAATCAAATGATGTATGTCCGGAAAGCTCTTGACGAGACGGTTCCAAGACCGACATATTTGTCACCGCCGTTACTGCTATGTTTGCTGTAGAGCAAATGACCTATAAAACTCGATCCGAAGGGGGGGTGGTATCTTCTGCAATATACCTTATCGACACCGCGGTATCGGGAACAAAGGCCACGACATCGGCGCGACGGTTGACCACCGACTGATCGGGGTCCTCAAAACAACACCAATGACTGCGCTCGGCGCTATCTAATTCATAGCAGCAGGCAGGCACACCCACCGGGACTTCGGCCATATCCAAGCGGACGAGCTCGGCCCCAGGTTGGGCGGGGATCTCGTACTCCGGCGGACCAAACGCGCCCGTCTCCTCCCCCCCCCCCTGCTGCTCGCCAGCCCCTACAATCATCCCTAACGTCCAAACAGAAGGATAATCCCCTCTCCCCCTCTTCCTCCTCCTGCTGTTGCTCGTGCTGGCTAGTCGCTGGTTGTTGCTGCTGCTGCTGCTTTTGCTGCCGCTGCTGCTCCCTGGGACCACCAAGTTGACGTTTGAAAAGCAGCCGACGCCATGCTGGCTCCACGTCGAGCACAGGGCGGCCCTTCTGCGAGCTGCGACCCGAGAGGAGGAGGAGGAGGAGGAGGAGGAGCCACCAGCTCGGAAGGCCTGCGGAATGGCAGGCAAGAACGACGAGACGCGACTGCTGCCGACGAACAGCAGCAACGCTGCTGCCGGCCGCGTGAGGTTCGACATGCTGGGCGGAGAAGGAGAGGACACAGCGTTGTTACTGCTCGCTGTCTGCTTGGAGTTGCTCTTGTCGCCGTGCAATGATTTCTCGTGTTAGCTCCAATAGAGCCGTGGCGAGACCCCCTTATTGCGGTCCTGGAGACGCCGCCTTGCGCCAGCCAGCCTAGCCGCGTGTCGGTGGAGGGCGGCGGCACTGTCAGGCCCCACGCAGGGTTCCTCTGCAAACATGAAATGAAAGCGCCTGCCAAATCTATAAAAACCTGGCGAGGATCTGCGGCGCAAAAGCGCCGGTCAGGTCAAGTGTCAAATCGAGCGGCCGCGTATCCATGCATCATGATGAGGTAGGTGGGGCTTCCAGCAGAGAGGAAAGAAAAATCAGTCAGCCACTTGGGAGTGCGTCGCGAGAGAGCTAGAGCGAGAGAAAGCGATGCAGGGGGAGGTTTTTGTACTCGACCGGCGGAAAGTCCAACCCGCTGCCTTTGTTTCGAGATATCCTTGTGGATCTTACAGCAGCAGCAGTGTTGTTGTGCCACCAAAGGTCAACACACTTTCTTTCTATCATTTTGTTTTCTTTTTCCGAGTGTTTCGTACCCTATTTTTGTTTTGTTTCCCCGCGGCGTCGTATGTGCCGGGTTTTTGCGACCACGAGCTCCCCATTTTTGTGGACTAGACTAGTCTACAGAGCTAATGTGAAAACAAAACACACCACCACCCATTTTCCCGCATAATTTACGGGCAGCTTGCATATTTTCTCCTGTGTGTGTGTGTACACGGCTGAGAATGAAGAATGTAACAGGTTCCAAGTTTCCTCGTGGGCGGACTTCAGTACTTGTACAGTACAGGGTGTATTCTATAGTCAGTCTAGAGCTGCACCTCCTGCAAGGCTAGACTATATGTTGTACAGCAATCCTACATAGTAGATAACGTCGACGGACGCTGCCCAATCAACCAAAAATCCAGGCGAGCCATCCTGCTAGGCCGGGTGTACGAGAAGTCGCGAATGGGATCTTCCTATACACCACCCGGCTACCCACCGCCGCAGCGCCAACGTTCGTGTACGAGGTACGAATAGGTGGCATGCAAGAGCACGTTTGCATGTGTATCTTGCCGATGTGTTTGCGTCTCTCTGTCGGAGAACGTATTGCACGCGAGTTTGGACGGAAAATCTGGCAATTACAGCAGTGCAAAGGTAAAAATGGATATCAAGAGTCTTGACCACACGGTGCTATGTATGCATAGGCGAAAGGAAGAGAACATTTGTCATAACGATGTGGCGCAGGTGGAGAGCGTGCGCGCGGATCTGATGGGTGTGAGTTTCGAGATAGACTTCACGGGCTCCACAAACTTCATTGTTCTTCCCTCGGTGACAGCTAGATCTACAGCTCTCCACCCCTCGACGTCGATAACATCAGCAACAGCAGCAGCGGGAGAGCCGGCAAAATCGACAGTAAATAGCAACATCGAGCAGCAGGACGGATCTTTAACTGCAGCCGTAGCAGCAGTAGGGGTAGTAGGGTCCTCGGGAGTAACATCCACCAACGGAGAAGGAAGTGAGGGGGACAGCGAGGAGAGGAGAGGAGCTACCAAGGATAGAAGCACAGATGAGCCGATATCCCCGGCAGAAGAAAGAGGGTCGCCAAAGGGGAAGAATGATGGCGACGGGAAATCTACTGGAGGGGGAAGCGAGATCCGGAACACGACGACTGCTCGCGTTTCGACCGAGGCGTTTTGTCGGGCGGTAGTGGCAAGGGTGACCGTCCGGGACCCCAAGGTCGGGGGCACGTTGAAGGTATGGAGGCTGTTGTGCTGCCTTAGTGGCAGCGTTAGTCTACCAAGCCGTTCGCAGTCCACGGTCGCCATATTGGCGTTGCATGCAGTGTCCCTGCTTTCACCATCAGAGAAAGGAGAAGAACGCAACACAGCGTAGTTTGTAGAGGCGCCATCTTCGGCAGAAGAAACCAAGCCCGCAACGTCTCGTGAGCGATTCATATCGATGGAAATTCTTCACGAGAGAAACTCATCCACTGGAAAACTCCCCGATGTTAAATTGTCCTGGCCGCTCTCGAATATTCCCTTTGATGCTGACTTCGTGATCGATTGGAAACCATGTTGAAACACCAATGGGCGTTGCAGACCTCATGCAGCTGGGAGCTGGTGGAGCCTTCTGCTTCTCCGGTACCTGTAGGGAAGGCAAGCGGGGAAAACAAGTCTACCGCAAGCATTCGGCGGCAATTCCGTTCGGCGCAATCTCTGGGGCTGGCGGGTACACGCGACGATGGCGCAGAAAGGCTAGCCACGCAGCGCGCGGAAGAGATCGTCAAGCGCTGCGGAATCCACGGGGTGAGGGCAGGCGCGGTGGACAAAGAGGTTCTAACGTAGCACGGGGGGGGGGCTTACTCACGTAAGTGACTGGTATTTCTACCCGTAGAAAGCGAACCTGTAACAATTGGCCTAAGCTGTCTTTTCATCCTCTGTCTAGGTCTCACGCCGCGGAACTGTTTCTGTTGCGGAACTGGCGGCAGGTCCTCTATGTCGACCTGGATTTCCCACCAAACGACTCTTCTCTCGGGCCTAGCCTGGCCGCCAGCGGTTTGGTGACTTGGCGCCGCCCCACACAATTCGGCTGCGGCTCCGCCACCGCTTTTGGAGGGTACGGGAGACCGCTACCATCGGACGTGAGGCCGTGCCCGTTCGCGGCGGACGCATCTCTGGCGTGCGCGCTGGCCGTGCTGGCGGAGCGGCCCTGTCTTGTGAGCGCCGCTCTCTGCGGCAGGGTGGAGGAGGTGGTGACCTCGTCGTGCACGAGCCGTGGTTGCGATGTTGGCGGTCGACGAGGAGGAGGAACAGGAGGAGGAACGGCTGATCACGATCAGAGAGACTTTCCATCGGAGACAGCAGTCGCCAAGGGTCGAAGGGGCGATTATAGCAACGGCCTTGGGGGTCACCATGCGTTACGAGGGAGAACCGGAGTGGCCGAAGCAGAAGCGGCGGCGAATGCCTTCACGGCAGCTACGGAATCGGGCATATTTTGCGCTCGGCTCTGCGCCGACGGAGTCTGGAAGGAGTACGTTCTGGACGACTTTTTCCCGTGTCTTTTCTCACATCCAGAGCTAGGAGGAGGTAGCGACGGCGGCGGAGGCGGGCCTTGCCTTTCACGGGCACACGGCCCCGCTCTGTGGGTTTCCATGCTCGAGAAGGCGTATGCACGGGTGGTGGGGTCGTACTCGGCAGCATTAGGAGGGTGCTGCTTTCCGTGTGGGCAAGCTGAAGGGCAAGAGGAGGCGGAAACCAGGGCCGCTGCGAGCGTCGTCGCGAGGCCCGCCAAGGTGTTGGGGGTGCTCACGGGGTCGCCGGTGTTGCAGGTTGATCTGCCGGCAGGCCGGAGGAGGGCGAGAGATGGGGAAGGGGTCCTGATGCGGAAGGATGAGGACGAAGAGGTGGCGGGGGAGCTGTGGGGGATGATTGTGAGTCGTGGAACTGGTACGGGGCATCTTGGTTGTGGTTGAGGCTTTCTGCAGAACAGCTTTATGTGCAGCACATCGTGTGCGATCGAGGGGGCCCGACATACAGTACACGCCTGTGAAATGACTGCCGGAGAGAACACTAGTGAGGGTAAGCGGTGCAAGGAGTGTTACGCAGGCCAAGTCAAGGCACGGCACTGGACACGACGCGATCGAAGCACCGCAACAACACCGGCCTCCAGCACAGAAAACATTCGCAATCGCGCCCCCACCTGTGGTGCGGTGTGTTGTCCGTCTCTCCCATGGCGTCCCCGGCTAGAACCCTTGACCGTACACGGTCTGAAACAAACCAGCCGACGCGTCGCCGTAACATCGAGATTGAAGCGAATGTATGACGGTCAACAGCCAGAGGTGCAGCATCGCCAGACGCACTGCCGTAACCTCAGATATCATCATAACTCCCGGGCCCATGTCTTTCTCACCCGAACGCGCAGGTATCCTGGGCACGGCAGGGCTGGCTGGTTTGTTTCAGTACTCCGCCGGCGGAGACGTCCGAGGGAGGGGTTCCGCAAGGGAGTGGAAAATCGTGGAAGGTCGGTTCGACTTCGCGTCGACCGCTCACGTCGTTTTGAGTGACAAGCCATTTGGATGCCATAGTTATCAGCGCAATTGAGCAACATTTCTTGCAGCTAAAAAAAATCGTCATGTGCTTGGAAGCGGTGACGTTCGCACCATATTTTAGAAGTTTTATTACTGGCTGCATATGGGGATTTAGGTTGAGCTACTGGTGTGCATTCTGAACCCCGAGGACCTTGCAGGCCACGAGTGTCTCGTTTTGGCTCAGGTAGTGGGTTTTCGGCATCATCTCGTAGGTCTCCGAGCACGGAACACGTACTCTTCATGCCACGTGTATTGTCAAACCCGCAGACCCCGGTCGCCCTGCGCTTCGTCCACACAGAAAAGATCTATATTTGATACGATATGGAATACTGCCCAAACTCTGGCCCTGACCCGTACTGACGAGCTTTGTCTCATCGCCTGACTAACGCCCCCCGCGTGAAAATGGCATCGTTCTAGAAGGCCTACCAGGTACACCCAGCCTTACCCTGGCCCTGACCATGACTTCAATCCCGATCTTGAACCCATCACACCGTCGCGTATCCTTCTAGGACGGGCTTCGCCTGGGCTACGCTTACACCGTGCTGCAAACGGCTAGCGTCGGCAGCGGCCACAGGCTGATCCGTCTCCGCGGCCTACTGCCTCCCAAGGAAGGGTGGAGGGGAAAATGGGCGGACGACAGCCCGCTTTGGACACGGGAGGCGTTGATCGCGGCCCAAAACAGCTGCCCAACCCACCCGGGGGTGTCTTCCTACCGACGTGAAGAACCGGGGGCGTTTTGGGTTTCCATCGAAGAGGCTGTTTCTGCGTTCGTGGAAGTTGGCGTTTGCATGGTGCCGCTTCCTCCCCGGACGGCGGGAGATTGCCGTGGGAAAGAAAGGATTCTCGGCGGGTCCGGGTGGGCCCAAGAGGTTCGGAGGCGTGTTGTGTTCAAGCGGAGACGAGACAGAGCGGGTGGGGGGCGGGGATCTGGCCGGGATTATTCGGGTTCAGGTCGGGGTACGGCGGGAATTGAATCTGCTCAAGGGAACGAGGAGGGTGGTCGGGGGACAGAGGAGGAAGGTGGTATGCTCTGGGGGGCAACCCA